AGGAACACAAAGACAAACACATGGAGATTGAACGAGGCACTACTTCAAAATGACTGGGTAATAGTTCAAATAAGGGATAAATTTAAGAAAATCCTTAAAGCAAAGAACTATAATACAGCAAACCAAAACCTTTGGGACGCAATAAAAACAATGATCAGGTGGTGATTTATAACAATTAAAACATACATGAAAAAAGAGTAGAAAGCCCAAATCAATACCCTATACAACACTTCTAACAACTAGAACAAGATCAGTAACATAAACCTTCCAACAGAGGGAACTAAATCATAAGTGTTTGAGTAGGAAGAAAAAAACCCGGAAAACAGAAAAAATACATAGATAAACAAAAACAGAAAACAAAAATCAAGAAGACAAGAAATTGGTTCTTTGAAAATAACAATTTTGTTATACTTAACAAAGAAAAAAGAGAGAATATACAAATCTAGAATTAGAGATGAGAAGAGTGACACAACAGATTCAAATGAAGTATAATAATATATAGTCATAATAAATAGAATACTATATTCTATTTTTATATACTAATGACACACTACTACAAAGGGTTGTGTTCCAAGTTTGATAACCTGGAAGAAATGAAAAATTGCATAGAAATACACCACTTATACATTTTGACAGAGATAAAAGTAGAAAATCCAGGAGAAAAGACATAGAGAAGGTCATTAACAAACTCCTACCCAAGAAAAGCCTAGGACCAGATGGATTCACAGGGTACTTGTGCCAGCCTTTCAGTGAAGAATTGTCATCAATCCCTCACAAACTATCCCAGAATATAGGAGACAATAAACTCCCAAACTCATTCTATGAACCAAGTATAATCCTGATACTAAAACCAAGCAAAACCCACAAAGACAAAAAACTACTGATCAGAAGATAAATTACAGACCAAGACAAAAAATTATAGACCCAAAGACAAAAGCTATAGACCAAAAGACAAAAAACGAAAGACCAATATTCCTAATGAATATAAACACAAAATATTTTCAACAAAATTCTGGCCTACAATATCTCACAATACACACACACACACACACTTTCACCATGACCAAGTGGCATTAATACCAGAGATGCAAGGATGGTTCAACATTAAAAAAAATGTAATTCACCACTTAAACAAGACAAAGAAGAAGAACCACATGATTACATCAATAGATGTAGTGTGATATCCATATGGAAGAAGCACACCAACCTGTGTGATCCAAAGATCCCAAAGAATAAAATCCAAGCCCAGGGGAGGGAATGGGACTAGAGTCAAAATTCAAAACAGTCAGCTTGTGAACATTATGGATGATAGTAGAAGCCCAAAATCCATTTGTAGAGTCCCTATGTAGATTGAGTCTCTGGTGAATTCTCACTGGCCATAGTCTAGAAATGTGCATAGCCTTAATACCAGACAAAGAGCATTGCAAAGTGGATTTTCACAGCTTGAGTCAGACTGGAATGTAATGCCTTGTCATTAGATCTCCCTTTTGACTCATTTTGGATTTATTCTACATTTAATAATTTCTGCTCTCTTTCTGATTGAGGATTTTCTGTTTTATTTGGTCATTGTTGCTGGGTTATGAAGACAGCAACAAGATTAATAATTACCTGGGGGCATGGAAAAGGAGGTGATGGAGGCGATGGGGTGGCAATAGCAATGGGTACAAGAAGGAAGAAAATATCCCAAAGTTGATTGTGGTGATGAATACACAAACCTTCATATGATTGTACTAGTATGATTGCATTATTAAATTGTTCTGATAAATTCATTAGATCTTTTAAAACTATTTTTAAGAGGAACTTACAGTTAGCTATATGTTTGAGATATAGCTGTTGCCCATTAATTTGGGCACACTTGTTTCACCTGCAAAAATGATGGCATCACGTAGCACACCTGTCTTCAGGGTAGTCTTCTCCTGCACTCAGAGCACGGATTCTTATGTGCTTCCTTTCTGCCTTCTCTGGCCTCTTTATTTTCAGGAAAGCCTTTAACTCTTCCCTGCAAAGTACGATTTGGCTTTGAAAAGGATGTCAAGCCTGTGATAAGATGGTACATCGATGATGCTGAGCAGAAATGGTAAGTCCTCACACTCGAGAGGAACGGACAAGAAGATGAGTAACTCATGCTTTTTGCAAGCCACACTGTACGTCCTCACCTTTAGACAGCACCGAAGTACGCGCATCCACTGTACTGATGCGCCGACCCGTGGTGGAATATATAAAAGACAGAGAAAACGAAGTGCATGTCAACTTTACCGATGGTGTCCGAGTGAAGTTTCCGATTAGGGTGCACGGAATGAACTCTTATTTTACGGCTCTATTTGAAGCCACAATCTGGTGTGGTTGTCCTAAAATTTAAGCAAAGAAAGCAGACAAATATACTGATCCAGAAATAGCATATGCAAACCAGGGGTGACAGTGCTGCCCCTCACCTATTTTCACTAATACCTTACAATTCCAAGTGTGTGCCAAATTCAGGAATCCAAACTTTGACCGTCATTGACGGTCCGGAATGCTTCCAGGCAAAGTACCACAGTCCTATGGAGTCTGACAATACAAAACACGTGAAGCAAGGAAAGGTTAAAGCATCTTATCTTGGCAGAAAGGAGGATTGAGGTGGGGCATCTATCTGTAAATATTTGAAAATGATCGTGATTTTTGAGAAAAAAATTAACTTAGTTAAATATTTTTTAAACTTAATTTTTAAGTTTGCTTCTATCCAAAGCCCAGAACCTAGTGCAATGGGCAGAATTCACTGAGGAGAGATTTTGGTTCAATAGCAATAAAATCTCTAGACACTCGACGCTGCCCAAGACCTGACAAAGCTGGACTTCTCTCTCTAAAGGCATCAAAAGGCTTGGATTTAACTTATGAGGTATATTGCTAAAGGATAGATTGTCTTATTCTTTGGAAATTCTGCTCCAAAGAGAGACAATGCATTAAAGGTCTCCCTTCTGATTCAAAATAAAGTCAAATTCCATGAGCAAATATAAAATAAGTTTTAAATCGATACCTCCATATGAATACTAAAAGATCTATTTTGGAAACAGTAAGAGTTGACAAGAATGTCTAAGGCCGGAATGTTATGGAGTCTCATAGGGAACGGATAGCGCATTGCATTTCCAAGTCGTCCAATGTGGCAGCAACTAGATGGCTTGACATCACCCAGCCAGACCTTTGAATTTGTTTTCAACTGATTAGCAATGTGATTTCCATGAGCTTCTATTGGCACACCTCCCATCTATGGGTCAAATTCCGGAATCTTAGGGAGTAGGTATAAGGTAGGGGATATGCCATCGGAGTCCCTGGAAGGTAGAAGCAGTCAGTGAATAGAAGCTGGTATGGTCAGCCTGGTCGTGCATCTCAGCGCGACACTGCCTAAAATAGTGTATCTATAAACAGATTGCTCAATTTGAAGTCTGTAGTTGGCAACATTGGAGATTCCAAGTTGTGAGTAAGTGCAGAAACTCACAAATTCCTGAAGGGAGAAGAAGAGCCTAAGAATCCAACTACCGAATCTCCCAGCGGTGTGACCTTAGGCCATTTGCTCACCTTCGTGTCTCAGCTTCATCGTTGGCCCAGTTAGGAAAGCCATACCAAATGGCATCCCAGAGAGAATTGAGGGATTCAATAGTTCACTCTCAGTGCTTTGAAGAGTGTCTGATAGGTACCTAGTATGTCCTTAGGAAAGTGAGTTATTTTAAATGTTATTCCTAAATTATTATTGTCATCTGTTCTCAAGAAGGACTTTTAGGGTTAAATGATGCCCACACTTAATCCATGTCTCAGTATAAACACTTAGAATACCAATCCAAGGTTCAAGCGTGCCAAGAAAGACACAGCTTATCAGAGGTGTTGGAATGAACAAGATTCTACTCACTTAGAGGAAACAGCAAGGCACATTTCAATAGGAGGTGCCATTCCCAATAGTTAGTGGCTTGCTCCTCATAGTGAACTCATGGCTGGTGGTCTGCACATAGCCCCCGCTATAGTGTGCTGAAAGGATCACATTCCTTCTCCAGTAGGAGAAGATACAGAGATGGGGCATCATACAAGAAGCATGTTTACGTAAGCCATTCCTGGGAGCACTGCCATGTGCTCAGGGAAAGCGGGAAGGGATGTGCTGCTAGTCCACCAGCTGCTATAGATGTACTCTGTCTGGGTCATTCCCCTTGGACAAAGAGTCAGCCAGCATTCTCATCCCATCCAGGAAGTCAACACGATCCATCTAGTCCTTAGAACAAGGTTCACTTGTGGGTCACAGGCTCTGCTCAGACTGACTCCCACATAGCATCATTCTTATCAGGCTCATTAATGTAATCAAGAGTGAACTTTCTCTCTCACTATATTAAAGTCTGGCATCTCTTAAACCTAGTTGATCTCATAAGTCGTCATTTTCTGGCATCCAAGTGATTGGCCAGGTATACGAGTTTCACATATGGCAAATAGATGTTAATTAATGTAACCGAATGGCTGTGTTTTTCCCCACCCTTTTCCCAGTAATTTCTCTCCAATAAAGGATGAAGTCTTTCAATGTGTCCTTTCTTTGAAAGAAGTGACTCAGAATGACCTCCACAGGAAATTCATCTGCTTTGCCCAGAACTCCATTGGAAACACTACCTGGTCCATCCAGTTGAAAGAAAAGAGAGGAGGTAAGCCAGGAACACGTCCCGGGAAGCTAGCGATTGCTTTGCTTTTATTAAAAGGAGAGGAATTTTTAAAAAACCAGTATAATGATTATGATCTTGATGATGGCAATTAACATTTACTAGGCGGCAGACACTCTTCTAAACACTTGTTCATATTAAAAGGTTTAATGCTCTCAACATCTTTATTGTGCAAGACTATGATCTCTAGTTTATGAGGAAGGAAACTGAGGCAAAGATAAATTGATAGCTTTCCCCAAAGTCACAGAGCTAGGAAATTCATACCAGCAATTCAGAATTCGTTCTAACAAATACATCGAGTCCCTGGAAGTCTTCGGGAGCCATTCCTTCATTCAGTCATGCTGCAGATAACTAACTATACCACATGTTCTGTGTGGGAAGCCCAGTCCTAGAGCCCGGTTTTCTTTCTTGCTTTTGTTTTCCTGTCTACATCCCGACACATGCGCATCTTCAGCAAATAGTGTTTAGTGTGTCAAATCTAGTCTTGAGACGGTCTCTACATTCAGGTGGGAAGTACTCAGGGTCATATTTTGGCTCTTGTTGACTTGTTTCATTTTCCTCTGTTTCAACTTGAACTTGAATCTGAGCAATTGCTAGTCTATTGAACAGTTGACCCTTGGCTTTCTTCTGTCTGACTACACTGATTTTTTTCCAAGGTGTTTCTTCCACCGATGTAGTGGATTTGGTTTCTGTTTCTTACATCTGGTAAGGTCCACATGTGTAGGCACCATTTATGTTGTCAAAGAAAGGTGTTTCCAACTAATAAGTAATTGATCTTGAAAAACTGCTGTCATGGAATTTTTAGTCTCATTTATATAATCAAATCCTTATTTTCCAAACTGATCCTCCCTCTCTGTTTTCCACTTGGCATTCTAACGACCAGTTATCAACGCGTCTTCATTGTATGTTTGATCATTTTCAGACTGAAGAAGTTACTAGAATTGTAAAATTTCTTTATCTTTGGCTTTAAAGATTGGTGCATGCATTTGAGTAATAAACACAGAAGTTACCACCGAATGACAAACTGGCAGATGAGCAGTGGTCAACTTTAGTAGAGTGGTTCTAGATCTTTTACAACCTGTAAGGAGAGAGATACAGGTGGGGTTTTTGAAGTAGGAAGGGAGAAAATAAAGATAGTTCCAATTCCCAGGCTACCCAGATCTAGTCGATGCCACTGTCCCAGTGTCTCTGGAATTGATTTTAAGATGGCTTTCTCAAGACCTCAGTGAGACATTCCCAGATTTAAAAGGAGTGCTGCCAATAACAGGGATTTCGACAAATGGGCTGGAAATGGCCTTGGGTGAATGAACCCACGTGTTGGCCTGAATGTAATCATGTCAAAATGCAGGGATGTTTTTCTATGTCTGTGCATCTCCTCTCTGTTTGTTCACCATTACCACATTTCCCTTGCAGTGGTTTTCATGTACATACTACTGGGCACCATCATTCTCATGGCGGGCACGCTGTCGGCAAGTGCTCTTCTCTACACGTACTGGATTGAAATAGTGCTCCTGTTTCGTGCCTACCAGAGCAAGGATGAGACCCTCGGTGGTAAGGACAGTACAACACATGGCAACTTCAGAACCTCTGATTGTTCCTCTCAGAACTGGTTTGAGAGTGTATTAACTGGGATTCTTCAGAGAAATAGAATCAACAGGAGACACAGGAGAGAGAGAGAGAGATCTTAAGGAATTGGCTTATCTATAATTGCAGGGCAAGTAAAAAAAAACAACAGAAAACCACTGACCAGGAGGCAGAGTGGAAATTTCAGCAGTGTCATGCACAAAGTTTCAGATCGAACAGAAAGCTCGAAACTCTACCTCGGTCTCTGTTTGAGCTAGTCCTCAGGCACAGGGCCTTATTTCCCAGGAGTCCAGGTTCACCCCTATTGTCCAGGGGGAGCTCCTCTGCTGACAGTCGATTGATTCATAGGTGAATCACAGCTACAACACCACGGCTGACCCTGGGACAAGTGCGTGTGAACTGAGTCCATGTACACACGGGGTAGCATGAGGAGACTCCCACGGGTCCCATGAGTGTTGCTGCAAGTGCTTCCAAAAAGCAGACACAAATCATGACACACCAGAAAAAGTTGGATTGCTTCATAGGAAACATGGATCGAGGGCTGCAGCCACGGCTGCCCAATTTTCAAGAGAAATGAATCCAATATAAGGATCATCTTAAACAAACAAAAATCATGTTAAACGAGCAGGCACAAAAACTTGGCACTTTTATAAAAGTTTAATATTTTTGCTCCTATGGAAATGGCACCTTTTAGGTTGGTGCAGTATATAATACATACAATATACAAAGTATATTTTAATTTACTCATTATGGTGTTTTAACAAAAGCAGCATTGTTATGATTTTGTGGAGTCAAAAACTATACACAGGTTTTCTACGGGCCAGTGGGTGAGCACCCCAACTCCCAAGTTGTTCAAAGCTCAGCGGGATCCTTTCCCATAAACACCTCTACTAGCGTTTGACTGAATATCTGGGCAACCCAGGTCACTCACTCCTACACATGACATGAACCAGCACAGAAGGCAACAAAGAACATAAAACCAATAGATCAATAAACCAACCTACCAACTAACCAAATAAAGCTCACTGCCATTGGTCAAGTCCAATTCATAGTGAACCTATTGGTCCGGGTAGACTAGAGCTGTCCCTGTGAGTTTCTGAGACTGCAACTCTTTATGGGAGTAGAAACCCTCAGCTCCTCCTTCCCCCAGATCGGCCGGTGGTTTTGAACTGCTGGCCTTGTGGTTGGCAGCCCAACTCGTACCCACTATGCCACCAGGGCTCGTTAGTAAAGACCTAGACAAGAGAAAATGCTGTCACAGGCAACGAGCTATGTTTCCTCAGGCTTATCTTAAGAAAAGAATTTCAGAAGCCTGATAAGCACTTAAAGCCATGAGGGGCCTGCGTGTATCAGGGCTCGTCTCTCAGGGCTGCCCTCTTGGACCAAGAACAGCTGCATGTGGGAACCTCATCACAGAAGGAGTTGGGGCAGCCAGCTGGGGCCAAATCTGGCAGCGTTGAGGGAGGTGATCCAGATATGGTTATCCCAAGCTTTAGAGTCTTATCCTTATGGGTCTGGGTCCATCTTCCCAATGTTAATGACCTCATATCGTTAAAAGCATTAAAAGCAGGTAGAGAAGCGTGAAAAGCAGGTAGAGAAGACATTTCTTCCCATTCCAGAAACCAGGAAATCTGGTAGATGATTGTATTGTCTGGCGGGCATTTTGGACTTCAATGAGCATCTCTGTGAATGAACGTAAGGCAATGTGAGAAGGATCTTAACCTCTCCATGCCTTACTTTTCTCATCTTCAGAAAAGGAGAATCAAGCATTAACTACATCGTAAGTGGTACCGATCCCTGGGGTTAGGACCGATTAAGTATGTAGAACAGTACTCAGTGTACGATGAACACCAATTCCTGTCACTGGTTCGCTCTGGAGTCCCGGGTGTAATAACGACTTGCCTTCCCGCCACTATCCTCTAAACCAGGCAGAGAGAGGGGAATCGTGAGCTGTCCAGCGTGTGAGAGCTGGGATTGGGACCCGCACAGTCAGGTTTAAGAGGTACCATTGGCTATTGTATCCATTTGCTTCACTTGTAAAACGAGAGGCTTTTACGATGGTAAAAATGAACTGCAACGTGTAAAGCTTTGTAATAATAACAGCCCACTTCTTATTAATAAAGTGTCTTATCAGTTTTCCCCTAAGACCAAAACGTAGTATTTAGTGATGCTGGTTTCTTTAGACTAGAATAATGGCCCTGTCTGCATGTATCTGGGTTAGAGTGTGCATCTGACCGTGCCATGGTTCGGTGTACACGTGCGGACTGCAAGGTAGGTAGTGAGAGCCCCCTAGCAACTCTGCAGAGTACAGGAGTTTCCATCTTGTTAGGAGTTGCAAGTGACTGGATGGATGGTAGTGCATCTGGGTTTGGTTTTAAGATAGAATGTTTGCAGTTGCTACTGTGATTCTCCCTTTGTGCATACTTCTGCTGGATTCCAATGGATGATGATTATTCACCTCATGGTGATGGCTTCTCCAAGGTCCTGTGCTTTTCCCTCCGTACAAAGCTTGGGAAGAGTTGTCCCATCATCACGGAAAGTGACCACAAAGAGATGGATCAATCCCACCTTGCTTAATACCAATTATTGAGACAACCTATGCATTAAAAATTCTTAAGGCAAGAGTGCTTCTAGCTATTTAAAACTGTTGAGTTTACATATATATGTATATATGAGTAAATCGGCTCTTGTGGGTGTCTGGGACTGTATATTTTTCTGGGAATAGAAAGCCTTATCTTTCTCCCATGTATATACACATAAAAATGCATATACACACATACACATACATATATTTCTATATCACACACACACATATAAATCTGCTTTAAATTAAGCAAACTAACATCTTAATCTTGCCCTGGTGACTTCGTATTTCTTTTACTAAAATATTTTGCTTAGGATTCTAGGCCTTGCCCCAAAGAGTCAAAGGACACATTTAAACATATCCTTTCTTACCTTGCAAAAACATCAGT